CCTAACCTAACCTAACCAACCTAACGTAAGCTAACCCAACCTAACCTAGCCTAACCTAACCTAACCTAACCTAACCTAACCTAGCTAACCTAACCTAACCTAACCTAACCTAACCTACCTAGCCTAACCTAACGTAAGCTAACCCAACCTAACCTAGCCTAACCTAACGTAAGCTAACCCAACCTAACCTAGCCTAACCTAACGTAAGCTAACCCAACCTAACCTAGCCTAACCTAACGTAAGCTAACCCAACCTAACCTAGCCTAACCTAACGTAAGCTAACCCAACCTAACCTAGCCTAACCTAACGTAAGCTAACCTAACCTAACCTAGCCTAGCCTAACCTAACGTAAGCTAACCTAACCTAACGTAATCTAACCGAACCAAACCTAATGTAGCGTAACCTACCGTTGCGTAACGTAACCTACCATTGCGTAACGTAACGTAAACTACCTTTGCGTAAGGTAACGTAACCTACCGTTGCGTAACGTAACGTAATGTAACCCAAAGGCTCAGCGAGCAGGCAGCGTTACGACACAGTCTTCAAGTCTCAGGGAGCGCACACCAGGTTTCACTTACTTCACATAACACAATATAACAATAATTTACCCACAGTAACTTTCCATAAAAAAATCAGAAAACAAAATTATTTCTATTGCAAAAACCCGCTTTAATATTTAACTCTCTGAAACTACATACATAACTACGAAATTCAGTGGAGCTTGTAAATTATATTCTGACTTTAGTTTCTTGCATAAAAAAATAATCCTAGGATTCCTTGTACATAACAGTCTGGTGGATGTCACGTCTGATAGATGTCACGTTTGATGGATGTCACGTCTGGGGGATGTCACGTCTAGTGGATGTCACGTCTGGCGGATGTCACATCTGGTGGAAATTCACATCAACTCTGTGTCCTAGGAAGATAATTTCTGGTATTTAACAAGGATTCTTTTAAATACTTCTAAACATAGCAAATACCAAGACCTAGCACTAGTATATCCTGTGAGTACCTCAGTGTTACACTGACATAGCATGACAATAGAAAGAGAACAGTACCATATAACAGGGTATTAGGGTTATATACATTTACATAGTAACCAGTGGTTGTATCCTCCTGTCGGAAGGTCTTAGTAAATTGTTTCTATGTCCGAATTATGTGTGTGTGTCTGTGTGTGTTAGTTACCATTTGGTCCTAGGCACATGTCGATTAGACACTAGGCCTGTTGTATGTGCATGTGTGTGTGTGTGTGTGTGTGTGTGTGTGTGTGTGTGTGTGTGTGTGTGTGTGTGTGTGTGTGTGTGTGTGTGTGTGTGTGTGTGCGCATATTTTAACTCGTTGGTCGTCCCCCAAAAAGGCAGGGTGACCCAAAAAGAAAGAAAATCCCCAAATCAAAAATACTTTCATCATCATTCAACACTTTCACCACACTCATACATAATCACTGTCTTTGCAGAGGCACTCAAATACGACAGTTTAAACGTCAACCTCCAAAGTGCCAATATCCCAAACCCGTCCTTTAAAGTGCAGGCATTGTACGTCCCATTTAAATGACTCAAGTCTAGCTAAATGATTTCCCTGAATCCCTTCATAAAATATTACCCTGCTCACACTCCAACAGCTCGTCAGGTCCCAAAAACCATTTGTGTCCATTCACTCCTATGTAACATGTTCACACATGCTTGCTGGAAGTTCAAGCCTCTCGCCCACAAAACCTCCTTTACCCCCTCCCTGCAATCTTTTCGAGGACGACTCCTACCCCGCCTTCCTTCCCTTACAAATTTATATGCTCTCCAAGTCATTCTACTTTGATCCATTCTCTCTAAATGACCACACCACCTCAACAACCCTTTTTCAGCCCTCTGACTAATACTTTTAGTAACTCCACACCTCCTAATTTTCAAACTCCGAATTCTATGCATAATATTTACGCCACATATTGCCCTTAGACCGGACATCTCCACTGCCTCCAACTGCCTCGTCACTGCAACATTTACAACCCAAGCTTCACACCCATATAAGAGTGTTGGTACTACTATACTTTCATACATTACCTTCTTTGCCTCCATGTTTAACATTTTTTGTCTCCGCAGATACCTCAACGCACCACTCACCTTTTTTCCTTCATCAGCTTTATGGTTAACCTCATCGTTCACAAACCCATCGGCTGACAGGTCGACTCCCATATACTGTGGACCCTCGACCAACGCTGGGATTGTCTAACAATAAAATTGCCTAACGATGCGTTTCTGCTTAAAAAAAAATTGGCTCTACCAACAGTGGAAAACTCGGGTAACAACATTCGTGTGTGTGTGTGTGTGTGTGTGTGTGTGTGTGTGTGTGTGTGTGTGTGTGTGTGTGTGTGTGTGTGTGTGTGTGTGTGTGTGTGTGTGTGTGTGTGGTGTGTATGTGTGTGTGTGAACTTGCAGGTGTAGAGCTCAAGCTTCTGGTCCGTCTTCTTAACCTTCAGTGAACTGGTGGGTGACGTCTCGCCCACTGGGAAAGGCATGTCATCCCATACTACCCATTGACATGTTCATCCTCATGTTAACACTACACACTGACATGCTCATCCTCGTGTCAACACTACACACTGTCATGCCCACCCTCCCTCAACACCACACACTGTCATGCCCACCCTCACCTCAACACTACACACTGTCATGCCCACCCTCCCTCAACACTACACACTGTCATGCCCACCCTCCCTCAACACTACACACTGTCATGCCCACCCTCCCTCAACACTACACACGTCATGCCCACCCCTCAACCGTCAACGGACTACAACACAGTCATGCCCAACCCTCCACCTCACACGTACACACTTCATGCCCACACCTCCCTCAACACTACACACATTCATGCCCCCCTCCCTCAACACTACACAACGTCATGGCCTCACCCTCACCTCAACACTAACACACTGTCATGCCCACCCTCCCGCAACACTACAGCACTGTCAGGCCACCCTTCCTCAAACCACACACAGTCATGCTATGCTCCACCCTCACCTCAACACTACACACTGTCATCTAACACCTCACCTCAAACACTACACACGTCATACATGCTCAACCCTCACCTCAACACTACACTCCTGTCATATCTCTCCCCTCACTCAACACTACAACACTGTCATGCTCACTCCTCCCCTCACACTACACACTGTCAGCCCACCCTCACTCACACCTACACACTGCTACTGGTGTCAGGCCCACCCTCTCCTCAACACTACACAACTGTCATGCCCACTCACCTCCAACACTACATCACGGGTCATGCTCACCCTCACTCAAACACTACAAGTAACACTGTCCATGCCCACCCTCACCTCACACTACACACTGTCATGCCCAACCCTCCCCC